CTATCGGGAATTGGAATACACCATTCGATAGAGCTCATCGAGTTGTACTTGGAACACACCCTGGGACAGTTGGAACATGTTCCTGGGCGAATCTTGGCGAGATTTACTCGAATCTGGTGCTAACTTCACCTACGTAGAAAGGAGCTTTCCTATTTTCGTACGTAAATATCTGTCAGAACATGATTACATATTGAACCCATTTTGCCTCCTCTAACTTGTTTCTAGAATTTTGCTTCTAATCCTGGAAGTTGAAGGACAAAGTATGAGTTTTCTAGAACACGTAAAAAAGAGATTTTAGCTTATTAATGGATAGATCGCGAACCTTTGTATATTCTTATCTATCTAGAAGTTCGCATACGGCTAGTATTTCTTCTCGCTAAGTAATCATAGTGTACAGATCTGTAATATCAAACGCGTACATATTTGTTTCGCACGTCGTCTTAAAATTTTTCAGATATTTGAGAAAAATTATTGAGTTGGAAAGGAAAGACGAAGTATGCTTGTCGAACAGAGGTCGGATATATTGATCCCAAAAAGCGGACAGTTTTTCTAATGAGGATCTTGTTCTACTGACTATAGGTCTGAGTGGGTTTGAGTGTTGGTGTGGGTCTTGTCTTCATTCACACCTAAGCCTAACAACATCTATCCGCATCCACTACAATCTACCCACACGCACACTTACGCTCTAAGAATATTGAAGTATTTTATGTAAACAACTATGAACGCTAAATAATATTGATTGAAGTGACAAATGAATGTACAGATAAGAGTTGAATGACATGTCAGTTTCACGTGACTATTGTACTGATGAGGTGCAGTACTAAGCGAACGACAATGCTACAGAACATCATTAAACGCGTACCTAAAGAAGGCTATGCGAAGTTCTATAAATTCTCCTTTGTAACATTTGAATGTTTCATACCTCTTCATCCCTCTCAACACAAATCATTTTTTTAATGTTCCTGATATAATCAGCTTGGATTGATGACAATGAACGTAATTGCATATCAGTCGTAAGCAATTTCAACTTATTTATCATCAGTACTCCATATGTGTTCGATTCGCCTGACTGTTTTCATCAATTATTAAGGATTCGTGCCTGCCAGATATTTATAGATAAACAAAATCAATGATAAAAAGAAATCTACCAGCAACTTTCCATGTCACCTCTTTTTTATCATATGCGTCGCAGTTACGCGCAGAGTCAATTCTGCTTTGCAGTTGCGCATAATTGCAGCGTATTGTTCGCAATGACAATTTCTGTCAGAAACTACCGTTACTGCGATGCAGATCAGCGTAACTGCGTCGCAGTAATCATATCGTACCATTCATTGTCTCTGAGACCGACCAATTATGATTAATTCCTCCTTATTTCTAATTGGTGACTCTCCAGCAGTGAAAGTTAGTCACACAAAGACTGTATAAAAAAGCACTGTCCATTAGACTTGGGCTCATAACTCATGCTGCCGGAAAAAAGAGAAGATAAAGAGTGTCCCAGAAACTCTGAAGTAAATTTAAAATGCATCGTTCTCGCATTTGACAAAAGCAAACTGTTTGAAACTTTGGCAGATTATTGTGCATGCTTGGTACTAAATAACTACAAAGTTTCAGATATATAACTTGTATTATGGATGAGAACCAGTAATAACACTATCATGTACTACTTTTTCAATTTTCCTATCTTTTGGATTTGCAACATTTTTTTTATTTTGCCTATATCTCGGCATTGGTAGATGATAAAATCTTGAACTTTTTGTGAACGATGCGCCATGAAAAGCTCTACAAAAATTTTAAAACTTAATTCCTATTGGCTTGTGTTAATGGTTTCTATCATAGTCAAAATGAAAAACCTACATGATAGTAGTACTTCTTACCATGCTGTGCGTAATAAATAAATGTTTGGATGACCTTTTTATTTTGCTTGTATCTCAGCTTGAGAAAACGAAAACACATTGATTTTTTTTCAAAAGATGCGCTGTCGAAAGCTCTACCAAAGTTGTAGAAACAAGTTCCTATTGAAAGACAAAAAAAGTCTTCCAAACATTTATTTATTACGCACAGCATGGTGAGAAGTACTACTATCATGTAGGTTTTTTTTATATTGAGTACAGTGGAAACCATTAAAACAAGTTAATAGGAATTAGTTATTACAATTTTTGTAGAGCTTTTCATGGCGGATCTTTTAAAAAAATCTAAGATTTCATCATCTACTTATGCCCAGATATAGGCAAAATAAAAAAATGTGGCAAACATTTTGGCACACCCGGAAGATGATCAGGAAAATTGGAAAAATAGCACATCATAATGTTATTACTGGTTCTCATCCATAGTACAAGTTATATACCTGAAACTTTGTAGTTATTTAGTACTAAGCATGCATAATAATCTGCCAAAGTTTCAAACAGTTTACTTTTGTCAAATGCGAGAAAGATGCATTTTAAATTTACTTCAGAATTTCAGGGACACCCTTTATATTTCGAAAAGATGTTTTCGCCTTTTTTTCTAAATTTTCAAGTTTTTTCAAAGAGTTTCATTCTTTTAGATTTTTATTTTTTTTAATTCTCCTACTTTTTGGAACTTTTCTAATTTTGTTAATTTTTTTTGTAAATTTTTATTGTACAAATTCTTGTTTTTAATTTTTTATGAAAATTTTTCATTCCCAATAAAAATATTAATAAAATGAAAACTTTATGTATGCCATGTCTTTTAGCAGATGCGACGCAGTTACACCTTAACTATGATCGCACTGTGGTCTGTAATAGCGAAAAATTGCGACGCAGTTGCGCGTAACAGCAATGAGAAATCACAGTTACGCATGACTGCGTCGCAGTTTGACCGCAGTCGAACACATGGGTTGAAATCATATTTTAGTGATGAGACGTGTGAAAATATCTTTTTTTTTTGTCAACTGCCAAGAGAGTGCATAAATTTTTCGTTTCTTATGTACGAATTGAAAACGCGACGATTGGTAAGAGCAAGTATGAAATGTGAAACTTTCTTCTTTTTTTTAGAACGAATTACGAAGTAGAAGTAGATTGAATTTACGGAAAATATGTTGTTTTCCATGCTTCTTTTATTAGAACTGGGACAAACTAGTTTTTTATTGATGAAGAAATGTGTGTAATCTTGAAATTCGAGTCAATATCAATTAATCAAAACAAATTCTATATAGTGTAGTTTTAAATGATTTATTTTTGTTTTACCATATATATAGAAGAGTTTTCGATCCTAGAAAATCCTTTTCAATTTATACCAAGACAAACAAGAAAAATAGAGAATTCCCTTATTTACGATAAAACAAAGTAAATCATTTAGAAATTACACTACATGGAATTTGTTTTCATTAATTGATATTCACTCAAATCTCAAGATTCTACAGATTTCTTCATATATTATTACAAAACTAAAGTAGAACATAAAGCTTGAGTGTTACATTGTTTAGGTAAAATCGGCATTTGGATTAAATTTTAGTATTGCTCATGGTCTATTGTATTTTACAATGTTTATGATAAGTACAAAATTTGTATACAAGATTCTTTAGGTTATGATGTCTACGATTATGCTATCTATATATATTTAAATACTTCATCACTGTTCTCTATTTTTCTTGTTTATCTCGGCATATGTTGAAAATGATCGTATAAGACCAAAAACTCTCGTATATACGATAAAACAAAAATAAATCATTTAAAACTTTACTAAATAGAATTTGTTTTCAGCAATTCATAGTTTTTTATTCTTTCTTCTATTTCTTATGGGACATATAAAGTTAATGTGATTGTAAAGTGCGAAAAATTGATCTTAGTATCATTTACGCACTAGATGCATTTTTTTGTTTACTACGTTTTATTTCGGGTTTTTCAAAGAGTTGATGACGAAAAATGTGCACTGAGTTTACTGATTTACTGATTGATTTATTGATATTATCTGACTCACAAGAAAGTTATCGATTTACTTTTTTCAGTCCTAATGTAATGTTACTGTAAGAAAATACATAGGTATGAAAGTATGTGTTTGATGGTATCTGTGATATAAATTATCTGACACTGAATCATTATGCCCATCTGTGTAGTGAAATATTTTTATGTATACTAAACGAACTTTTAAAAATGAATATTTATATCTTTCTCATTCACGCGGAGTAATTGTTTTATTTGATGTGACATATGAAATGCTGACGCTTAACAGTTTAAAATCTTAAAATAAGTCATTCTGAATATTTCGTTTGCTGCTAACTAGTAGATATCTTATTTCATACTAAGTCACCTTATAGATGAGTGTGAACAGACGTAATTCAGATGATTGTTATAAATATTGTTGTTCAACGTCGTTCGTATCCTTTTGTTATTGTTTCACAAAGTTTAAGTGATGGAGTTTTGTATGCGTTCTGTTTCTTTTTCTTATCGTCACAATTAAATCTTGTTTCGGTTGTTTTTTTTACTACCATAAAGACGGTCAGGAGCGCGTCTGAGCAAAGTGGGAACGTGTACCGATATTGATATCATGTCCCGATGATCTTCCTTTCCACTCTCTTCTTTATCATCTCTATACTGTTCATGCCTGTACTCATCTGTCTCTCCTATATAAGGTTGTGTTTTAAGTGAAGTCTATTCATCAATCTGATCGTGGCATAGCCCATTCAGGATTTTGATCTAATCCTTCTTGAAATTCTGTGAGGACCTTGAAATTTCATGGCTACTCATTTTTTCAGGATTTCGTCGTCTTCTCAAGAGAAAAGAGCAAATTCAACCAAGATCCTTATGAGATGTATCAAAGAGGTCCCATGCCAATACCAAAGATTTTCCCTAGGCATCTTATTTGAACTAGACTGTGATCGACACCAAGAGAAAAAATTTGGACACACACATCTCTGATAATCTCTGTAGCATTATGAAATAGAAGCAAATAGATATTACTACTCAGCCTTCTTTCAAAAAAACACTCTGTATAATATATCTTACTAGACTTTAGACTAACAAAATATTTCAATACCTGAAACAATGTGCGATGCTCACAATGTCTATGATATCATTGAACTCATATCAGCTATTGGAGTCCAAAAATCAAAACAGAGAGTCGATCATACTGTTATTAAATCTTTTCTAGCTGGTGTTTTTCTATCTTTCGGCGGCCTGTTCCTCCTGCTGGTTGGTGGTGGAAGTGCTCCACTGGTTCAGAATTTAGGTCCTGGCATACAAAAAATGATCCAAGCTGCCGTATTTCCTATTGGACTGATTTTGATCATTATGACTGGTGCTGAGTTATTTACAAGTAATACTATGATATTAATGGTATCAACATTACATAGACAAACAACATTACTTAATCTTATCATTTCATGGGTAATCTCGTACTGCGGAAATCTTGCTGGCTGTTTGTTTTATCAAGGCATATTTGTTTACTATGCAGGTCTTCTCTCTAATGATCCTTATCACTCATTTACTGTTCACATTGCCGAAGTAAAAGGTAATACTCAATGGCATCAAATGTTTCTAAGAGGTATTGGAGGTAATTGGCTGGTATGCCTGGCAGTATGGTTGGCCATCAGTGGACGTGACTTACATTCAAAAATAATTGGTATTTTTCTACCTATCTGGCTTTTTGTAGCTGTTGGATATGAACACTCTATTGCTAATATGTTTACAGTTCAAATGGGTATGATGCTTGGCGCTAATTTGTCCATTCCAAAATATATTTTATGTGTCATGATACCTGTTACACTTGGAAATATTATTGGCGGAGCATTTTTTGTTGGTTTTATATATTGGTACCTTTACATGTCGAAGAAAGCTGATGCTGGTGCTATGAATGGTACTATCTCAGCGATTGGTGATGATGGTCAAGTAGTGCATTAGGAAGAGAAATTAAGTCAATCTGAGAGAAGCTTCAATAATACTTTCTCATTTTAGTCTCATCCGAACTACTGAACGAAACCTTGCAAGATATCACAATTCTGTAAAACTATACGCCCCAAAATTCATTGATGAAATATAAATTCCTTCAGTTGCTTATGCTTGCTCTTTTTTTATATACGAATTATAAAGTTTATTCGTAATCAAAGCAACATTTGCATTCGTCCACTTTCCGATTCTTGAGATGTTTGAAAATAAGGCAATCAACATAAGTTGCACGAATCTAATGCATTCATATACTTTTTTTCTGAAAGATAGATAGTGAGGCTGTGGGTGCCGTTGAAGAAAGTAAGTATACTCAACATTCACACGTCCACACCAACTTGAATACGTACACGAATAGAATTTTATATTTTCAACTAGCTTGTGGGTAAAAAGTCTTTCAACTAATAGTTTTTATTGAACAGTATTTTTTATTCTTTTTTTTACCCAATAAAGAATGTAAAATCTCTATGAAGAATATCGAAGTCTATTTCTCAGCAACGTAAAATCGTATTGACTTCAACATTTTTTAAAGAAATGCTCCCGATTCCTACAAGAAACGGGACTAAAAATCCGAGAAAAAAATCGTTCCTGTAGAATACTATCCTTTGCTCAGCAAGAAAGCACTACAACTGCCAACAGTGTCTGGGTGTCGAGTTATAATGCTTTTCGTTTCATGTACTAAATTTGCATGTCAGCTCTGATAAATTTGTTTACTTCCTTTGGTAGTAGTATATCGTTTAATGACCCAAATGCGTCTTTTTATTTCTTCTAATATCTGTCAACAACGTCAAAACTCGCTACACTATTTTTAAATCATGAAATCTAACGCGCAAAACAATATTGGCATAAATGCAGCTGTAACAAACCTCGCTATCGTAATTCTTTCGCTGATAATAATAGATTTACTTCCTTTGATTTTCTGTGCATTTCATTTCATGAGACATTTACGAGTAATGTGATAAATATTTGTAATTGGTCCGCGAAAGTGAATCGATTGTAGAGTATAAAAAGCGTAGCTGATTGCAACCATTGTCATAAGCAAAACAATATGAAGAATGACTTCAACTTTTGTTTCTATAATCTTTTTCGTTTTGCCATGCTGTCAGTTGGACTGCTGCAACGGCAAAAAGGGTGTTACATTTGTCCGCGAGGCTCATTTACCAAAATTTGGTGTGTCCAAAGTAGGCTGTGGTTTTACGACTCTAGGGACTGCATCAACCTTCAGACACTGGTGTAACGCCTATTCAGGTGACATGAATTGCGAGACATTTCTACCCGTGTTGTGTACCAAAGTCAATAATTCACCAAGGCCTCCCTATCCGAACACGAACAAATATGATGATGGTTGGAATTTGGGACATTTAAGCACGAGCACACCTGTCAAAGGTTCTCAATTTGCCAACCGAGCTGCTGTCGATGCTTTCTGCGCTACTTCATTCGGGTAAATCTTGAGAAAACTGTTTGCTTTCATGCATGCAGCCGACCATACTCAAATTTTCATGAATGCAAGGTCGAGACAATAACAGAGCTATGCTAATTTCCGTTACGAATCCTGGTTTGTTCTTGAAAAACAAGATTTTCTAAGATTTTTTGATTTAACTCAAAATTGGTTATAGGGAAGTGGATGGCATTTGAGAAATAGCATTAAAAAATTATTTTTCCCGAAAATCTGTTTCGAATGTTTGTTTCTTGTGCAAACGAGTCTTCAATTCGCGTTCCACTAGAATTCGTACTTATATTGTAGCTGATTGGTAAACGAGAGTCAGAGTGAGATAAAGAAAGCCTTTTATGTATTTTAATTTTTTAGATCTGGATGGCGTGCGGCCACATTTCACGATGGCTTCTTCATTCTGGGAGCACCATATGGCGAAGCCTGGACTGCTCAAATTGATTCCATGCTTCAAGCCCAGTGGCACTACCACTCGTATGCTGATATGCGCAACGACACTCGGTTTTGGATTCATATCCGTGATCAACTAGCTATATGTTGGAACAAATAGAACTCTTCTTATTTATTCTCTTTACTTTGTTCTTTTTGAATGCTACTTATATAAACAAGACTCACTCATTAGCGTTGATCGATTATAAGGTACGCGATTGTATTGTTAATTTATGAGATGGCACTTGAAATTCATCAAACATGTGTTTTATGTAGGTATGTAGTCAAAGTTAACACCTAAAACAACATTGATGAGACGAAACAATCAAGGGAAGATTATTCGACTGCACTCGGTTACAGTGAGAAGACACTTGGAATTGAATAGTAGTGTGTTCCATTCAACTATCTAGTTCTCTCAGCTAGTTCAAGTCATAGTGGCCTTGCTCATGGTTCTCTCGAAAATTACAGCATTGTGCTCTCGTATCTTGAGAAATCATCGAAAGTTTCACAGGAAATTTCCTCTCTCTATCATGCATTTCTGCTGACCATGTATAATAATATTGGTCATGTGTATGAATCGATAAGAGACTACTTCTTCGCATTACCAGAATATAGGATGATATTCGAATCAGACACAGATCTCTAAAATCCAAACATAAATCGTTTCATGTCATTTATTGTAATATGACAGGGGCCTGAAACTATTTCAACCGATACAAATAGGATATCGAACATTGTGCACGATGGGGTATAACCGTATGATTGAAGACAACACCCACACTCTATGTACATTTAACTATTGCTACAAAAGTGGCTGTATTACTACTCATAGTAATACAAAGACTTTAGCAACACCAGAATACAATCAAGAAGATGATTTCGGAAAAAGAAATGAGTATGATGGTTCGAAGAATACATAGCCAATATCATATGGAAGTTATTCAAAATATTTCACCTTTACCATCAAATGAAGATGTTATTCAAGTTGAAGATCAATAGATCAACACTGAAAAACAATGAGCAATCTAATATAGTCGAAAAAATTTATTGTAAGACCCAATGAACAATCGATAAAGATTATATAGAAGTTGCTAACTTAGGAACAACTGGTGGAGAACGAGTTAGGTACAGGTTAGAGATCAATGAGGTTAAATGTTTTAGCTCCCATGGAAAAGAGAAAAATCTATAATTGATTGAATCAGAATGTTGTTCTAGACTGTTATTTCGTAGATTTTGAGCAGAAAAAGTACGGTTTGGGTAGAAAAGAGAATGACCTTATGAATCAATGTTTACCACCCACTTGAGTTATGTGAGTTTTAAATATTTTCGTCGACTTATCGTCGAAAAAATGAGCCCTAATCTCTATCGGGATTAAGCAAAAAGAGGATTGGATTGACGAGTAGTTTCACCAGTAAGGAAAAGCTCTACGGCTGTACAACCACATGAGAACAGAAAATACCATATTTCGAAAGCATAAGAATACCATTTTAACGACATTTTGTCTTTCGACATAATCTTGAGAAAGATTAGTGGTGATTTTTTCAACGAAAATATTTAAAATTCTCATAAATCTAGTCAGTATTAATTACTGATTCATATGATACTTTTGGTTTTTATTCGAACTCTACTTTTTCTGATCGAAATCTACGAAATAACGATGGGAAATAGTCAAAATCATGTCTCGGAAACGATATTATTCACATGATTTCTTGTAGTCAATGTTTTTTCTTCGATGGCATCGTAACATTTTACAGCGCATAAAAGCCTCTATTAAAATATACGAACACTAGCTCGATCGACTAAAATAATGATAATTAAATAGACCTGATTATCGTTAAGAGTCAGATATGATATGTATAAAAGAATCATTTACTATTTCAAATGACCAGATTACAGCGTAAACAAACCTAATCGGGCCAATTCTATCAGTGATCAGTTTTTCATAGAAAAAAAGCGAATCTTTCGAGTAGTTCGATTTTATTCTTTATCTATCTCCTCTTGGCGTTACTAAAGTTATTATAATGATAGTGAATTTGATTGTTTATATCTATTCTCAATACTTATCTTCAAGGATTTATCTAATACGTCACGTTGAATTGTCATCAGTGAAAATTAACTCAATTGAATCTGTTTTTGTAACATGAGCAAAATTTATGCAATGAAAATTCTGTATCAACAAAAATATACAGATCAAGCAGTCTGTTTGGGGCTATGCCACACACTGCCTGTCAAATCTGTTGGACAATGTATATTATGCACCAAAATGGATGGATATTCAGTACTGTCTGTCAGATTCGGTAGATAATTTATGCTGTGCACACATCCGGTACGTCATTTATATTATTTGACGGATTTGCCCGAAACTTACGCGCAGCAGAACATTTCGTACACACATAGTAAGAAAGTTTTCGCAGAGAGATGGAAAAGTGGGGGACTCGTTGACACCATTCTTACCTCACATCGAGAGCCATGATCAAATCTCCAGTTTTTGCTCGATAACCCCATGGAAAATATCACCATTCGATACAGCATTTAATTTTGCATCTAACCCAATTTCATCAGCGAATATCACCAGAAAAAAAATTCGAATTTAATGCTAACTTTTCTTATGTCAGTATAATTACTTTTTCAGCATATGCTGCTTTTATTTATGCTTCATATATGATACAATCACAGAATGTATTAACGCACAGTATCGTACCTGGAAAACAAAAAATGTAGTTGAGAAAAATAATCCAAAGTATTTCATTTGATTTCAATACAATTGAGTGTTACTAATGCGATAAAATTGCTGCTATCATTTATATTTCCATATATTATAGTCTTCCCAGAATCTATTTGAGTACTTAATGAAAATAGAAACAAATATGTTGTCTACAATGACTTCATCACTTTAGCTATATCTATCTAAGGATGTTTTCTGAATTTTCTATTGATAAAAGAAAGTCGAGATGAAAGAAATATAATGATTAACATAAATGAACATTAGATGCAACAATTGAAAATATATTTTAGACAGAAGGTATTTAAAATAAAAATGCTTTATTTTATTTATGTATGATTCTAATTCACTCTTCATTTTAAAATGTTATTGTTCTTAAATAATAAAAGAATAAGTTCATTATTTTTATATAAATAAAAATATTATACCAATATAACATCCAGTAATTAACATTATGATGAATTCTTGAACATTATTCGACTTTCTAAAAGGAATAGTTTTGTACTCGATTTTACAAGAAATACTCTAAAAATGGTAAATTATTACAGCCTTGAGTTCTGACGTATATATATGAAGCTGATCGTTTTTCAAAATGAAAAACATCTGATTTTAACAGAAACGAAGGTATTAATTTTCCAGACGAGGTTGTTAAATATCTTGACATTAAACTTTTCTAGATTGGAAGAAGAGTTCGTCTTTGAAAGAGATCTTTAGTCCATTTAATAGTCACTAAAAACTTTGGGTGTCATTGTTTTTGATGTTTTTCATATTGATGACAAAGAAATAACTGAAAGACAAATATAGGAGACATAATTGGCCATATTTTATCATAAAGAGGTGTCTTTGTTGAGAATAAAATAGATTGAGAAGATTTATTTTATTTTACTATTACCAATATTATTGTAATGTGACATAAAAAATTTGAGCTTAAGCGGATTTTTATAAGTATTGTTTTCATACTGTAAACTCATTCTTTCTGTAGTGTTTTCAAATGTGGTTTAATAAAGCTACAAATGTTCTTTTTCATTACGAAATAGTTTATTACAATAAATACAAACACAAAACTTGACGAAACCATTGAATACATATCAAAACCGTTAAGTGATATATTCACAATTTCAATGATTGCATGAAAATATCATCGATAATAAAAATTAATTAGCATCCTTATACGTTGATGTATGCCAATTATAGACACATATTGACGCCTTTATTCGTAGCTAAATAAACGGTACATAAAATGTATTCAACTGATTCATGTATGAGATATTTGTTCAAATTCATATAAGACATAGTCTCCATACAACATGGAATTTAAAGTTTCTTAAATTTGCTATATTCTGTATTACCGAGTTAATACAATTTTGTTCTGAAGGATGGTAAATAGAGCTTTGAACAAAATATTTTTATTTTAGACACTCGTAGAAGTATTGGTTTTAAATTATAGAAAGTCTAGATTTATCTATCACTACCCATGTAAAAGAAAATGTGTTACAAAAATCAATTCTAAATCGATTATTAATTGATTGTAAATCGATTACTATCAAAAACCAATCAAACATATCTAATTTTAATTGATGATTGTAGTTACTTTTGATAAAAACAGATTTAATAATCATGAAGAAATCGATTAAAAATGATTTTTGTGCCTGATTTTAAACAGGTTTTAATCAACAATAATGAGAACAATCGATGCAAAGTATACGATTTAAATCAATTAAAAATCGATTGTTTTTGTGAATTTTCTAAAGTTTTTTTATATAAGTAGTATTAGTTGAATTCAATATATAACCATGCATTATACTTGAGGATGGTGTATTTTTTACTTAAATACAGATTACCAAAAAAAGCATATCTCGAAAATTGAAAATTTTCAACAACGGCATATGTGAAAGCATTTGCTATGCTGATCAGACCATGTCATCTAGCACAATGTACTGCTGTTCTATTAGATTCTATTAAAAATACTGACTGGCACTTAGGGACCTCTCTCGTATTAGGAAAAAACATTTATTATATAGATATTAATTTAGACTGATTTTACACATGTATGCAGATCAATATGAGTACAGTCACGTTTTCTTCATTCCTTGAGTTAAGAGAGCATTTAAAGTGTGTTGATTCTCCTATTCTACATGTTGAAAGTAATTGACAAATTGTCTGTAGAGATTAACTATATATGATCAGTACTTAGTAGTTTACTTTGAGTGTTCTCCACAATGGTCGATGTAGAAGTCTTTTCTTATAGATAATATATATTGAAATGGCCGATATGTGTTTCTTCTAGTAAAAACAATAAGCTAGCATTTTTTTCCTTTTTAAATACAAAAAAAATAACGAGTTAGATTCTATCTCTATTCGTATGCATGTTAAAAGTGATGAAGCAGAACATTTCAGCATAATGATATAAATATAGATGGTATGTACGTTTCTCTTACTTGCTCGATAATTTTACATTCTATATTTATATAGATACGATCAATCATGTCTATTTTACGACAAAAAATCAAATCATTTCTTGAAAACTTTAAAGAAAAAGTACGAGCAATAAAACTTGAAGGCTATGCATTGGCTTACGTTTATCAAGATCAACGAACTCCATGGTATGCTAAACTATCAATTATGATAACCCTTGGCTATTTATTGAGTCCAATTGATCTGATACCTGATTTCATTCCTATTTTGGGCTATTTGGATGATCTTATTCTTGTTCCATTGTTAATTCTCTTGTCGATTAAATTAATACCAAACAATATTTTAAAAGAATGTCGAGAAAAAGCTCAAAACCAATTAAATAGAACAAGACAGCCAAAGGAAACAGCCTGGTGGTTTGCTATTTTAGTTGTGCTATTCTATGCTGTCATGATTTACTTTGTAATTAATTGGATAAAATGTAGATGGTTTGGAACGACAAACTCTTCTTTGTCGGATAACTCTCAGAACTAGTAAAAACTTTCATTCCTATTCAATAAAACTCTCCTGTGATAAGAAATATTGCCAATAATAAGACAGAAGTTTTCCAAGTCTTGCTCATAAACGGATTGTGTTCAATACTTTAAGTTTTATTTTATTTTCGTAAGAAACTAATAATAAAGTAATTAAATAATTTTTTTATAGTTAACAATAAAATCACAGTTCATGGTTACTTTTTTTGTTCTACTCGTATGTAAATAATTAGGTACATTCCCAGAACGCCAATACTTCATGTTTTATTAGTGACGTACAAAATTACTTTGTTTTTTAGACCGATATACTTACTCGTGAATTGTCGCACGAATTCCGTAGTTAGATATACTCTTCTGAAATTTGTTATTAGGATAATTTTTAGTCTAAACTGTAAACGATTTACTTTATAAATTTGACAAATGAGTATCAAAAATGACGTAACAAAACGAACAGTCTCTCATAGAGAATGATTTTGTCAACGATTGAAATTCGTACTTGTAACTTTCAGCATTTGTTGTATATTCTTTGTTCAAAAACAGTCGTAACAATAGATTTTAACCATCGGTATGATATAGAGGCACTACTCGGAGAACATATAAGAGAGATTAGGATGGAGTAGCTACCAAAAACTAAGTCATACTAGTTGTTCGAGCGCAGCCAGTACATACTTCCGGCTTTTAAAACTTGAAGATGACAAAAAAATAAGTGATTAACAGAAGCTGATGATTTATTTTCATCATTTCATTTCCGATGAAAATGTCGAAATGATTAGTGCACTCGAACATAATTATTCAAGATTTTTTCATTTCGGATCAGTAAACTTTTTCATTTGTTGCCAACTAAGAAAAAAAGAACAAATTATGTCTTTGGAGTTTATTGATAAACAAAGAGTTGAAGCAAAATACAGTCCTGTTATAACAGAATACTTGTGCTAGGTGGAGTGTTAAATTGAATAGCGATTAATAGACACATTGTATTCTAGCAAAAAAATTATAAAATAAAATATAAAACGAACGTTACGTTGTACATTTGATTGTACACATGATTTTTTGTGTGACGTCGAAATGAAATTTTAATCTTTTGAAATGATTTGCTTAATGAATTTCTCTGTAAAAATGTACAGAGCATGTTGACTTAAGAGTGATAATGATTTGCTTATCTCATATTTAGATAAACTGATAATTTAAATTTTGATTAGTGTCGAATTATCCATATTTATAGAATAATCAAAATCTCTTTTCTACGTTTACAAACTTTTTAGTCGTTATTGCCAATTATCTATTTTTATATGATATTTAAGATATTTCTAAAGATTTTACAATTATGTGTACGGCTATTTGAAAAGACCGTTGATAAAAAACGAAAATTTTTTTTTTTGATTTATTAAATATTGATACACTTTTATTGAAAAACTCGAATAAGCAATCCATATGGTATCATGGACGATCATACTTCTGTAAAGTATTCTACTTCGCTGTTAGGAATAATGGAACATATACGTCTGCTATCGGCACCAATGGTTTCAGCTTGGATCTTATATGTTCCAGGTTGTTGACGACATTGAAGCACGACTTTAGCTCTGTAAGATTGTCCTGAAGTTGAACGAAATGAAATAGATGGACTATAGATATCATCACCTGAATACGCGATGGTTGGAGATGTATATACTTGAAATTTGTTCGGAATATGTCCTTTGCGTATTCCAATGACATATCCACCGATACATTGATCTCCTGGAAGAAGAAATTGATGATGTTCTATAATGGACTTCGCTGCTTCAGAAGTTGTGCCATGATAGCTTACAACCGATTTGTTCCATATATTTTCAGCTGCTGCTGTTTGTGCATCATCAATATAGAGCCCGAAACGGACCCAACCACGTGGAATGACATATTTGAAACCTCCTTCCACATAAAAGTCTTGACTACAAGCTGGATAACATTTTTCGCAACAGCATCGATTATGTTTTCTATTGAAAAGCTTTTTTGAATATTCCAAAGAGAGCATGAACTCGAGACACAGTTTGAAATAACTACAAGGTTGGAATGTTGTCATGCTTGGAGAACGCATTAGATTATTATTCGAACGCGCTGCTAGATCCAAATTACTTCGATATTTCCCAACATCTGAATAATCAGTTCTTTTGCCTACGAAACTAGTTGATCTTTCAGGTGTTCGCCTGGCAGCGAAAGCTGATCCACTAGATTTCATAGGTGGATGTGTTGAACTGGCTGACGAAATATTCGGCAAAAATAATCTCAAACATTGGCATGTATTGCAATATGCAGTTTTATTCTTTGGAAGTTGAGTAAACGATTTGACTTCTTTACAACTAGTACATTTGTAATACATGTTGTAAGCACTAAATATATATATGTAATTAAATTAAATATGCAATAGAGTTGTGGTTATATAATAGTTAGACGAATTGCTTCCGTTGGCAGTGAAAGGGATGTTTCTAGACCATTTTATGTAGTATTTTCATTTTCTTTCGTCTTGATATTTCATAGTCGACTACAATCAGAGACATACTAAAACTAGTTGCTCAGAAGTAAAATTCGATTGCTTTCTAGAAACGTTAGTAAATCTCAAATAGAAATAAAAACAATAAAACCAATGAATCGTTGATGTTATTTCGAACCCTAAGAAATTCATTTATTTCTCGAAAAAGTTGAATGTACAATAACCTTCAACTAATACTTATTTCATATACACTTCAATTATTCTTACATACCTTTGTGACAGACCAAGAAAAGAAGTATTGTTTATAGGTTGATATTCTCCAATTAGAAATCCTTTCTCTTACAGTTATTCATTTGGATTACTTGCACGATTGAGAAAGATGTGAATCACTATTGACAAACCGATCAAGTTGTGTGAATAAATGATCTGACTGTTAATACTAATAAGATACATAATGCATTTTATTTATCAGAAACTCAAACGTTGCTGAATGATTTCTCAATAAAACGAGTCTAATTGAGAAAATTTCATCGTCAATTTTTTTTGTAGAATGAAACTTTTAATTGTCTATGCCTATTTTTTACATGATCATAGGATTTTATTCAAATAGTTTTCGAAAATTCATTTATTGTTGCTAACATTGTCAAGAAAAAGATGTAATCTACCTTATCAAAGTATTTGATAAATATATTGCCATTGATATCATATGACACCCTTGATCGTTACTCTATCAAAACAGCTTAGGTAGTCGACTAATTTGTTTTATGAAAAATATCAAATAACAAATCATAAGAGCTTCAATCATTTACCTCAGTATAATTTCAGTAAGCATATGGTCAAAGTATGAAAGACGTGTCTTTATTAGTTTTTGCTGCTCTCTTGATTATTGTCGAGTCGAAGAAGAATAATACAATTGCAGGTAAGTCTACAAAATTTTACATTGTACAGTATATGACTATTTAATTATAAGATAATTTCTCTATCTTACGTTTGACGTCCAAGTGTGTCGAACTTTCATGTAACAATGGTCGTTGTATTGAAACAACTCAAGGACCTAATTGCATTTGTGATGAAGGTTTTTCTGGTATGAATTGCGATCAACAAACTTCAGATTTCTATCATCGCACTCAGCTTATGCCTGGACTTGCTGATCCAGATATTCTAGCAGTAAACGACGATTTATTCTACCTGACGGGTACTTCTGATGCCATGAGTTTACCAATCTTTCAATCTACGGATCTGATCAATTTTCAGCTAAAAATTACATATAATCCTTCACTTTCCGATTCTATGTATCATTACTGTTATATTTGGGCACCTGACCTCTCAAAACGTGGTACCGGTTACGATTTATACTTTTCTGCTCAACGTGTATTGAAAGGTACACCTTGTCCAGCAAACGGGCAAGATGTTACTACATTCTTCGCAAGAGCCTCTGACGATAATCTCATCTTTAGTGTACCGGTGCTAGTGGATTTTGGAAATGGGGCTCCTAAAGGAAGAATTGCCGCAGGTTGTAATAGTGATGGATGTTTGAAGACAGTTCGAATTGATTCTGCCGTTGTTGGACCGGAGAATAATCGTTGGTTTTTTTATGTATGGTTCTCAGATGGAAATAATATAGCTTCATTTCCATTTGCTACACCATCTACTTTGGTTGCAAATGCTGGACCCGCTTCTTTTTCTATTCCTTCCAGTGAAGAAAAAATCAATGAAGCACCTGAAGTATTTTGGCGTGAAGGACAATATTATTTCTTCATAAGTACAGCATTCTTCGATAGTCAATATGCTATGTCTTATGTAATAGCACCGACTATTGCCGACCTAACACGCAAACGTGCAGTACGTATTCATTCGATTGCACAACGAAACTCAGCAGGAAAACTGGTTCAAAGTCATGGACATAATTCTATAGTTGTGAGACGTGGTCAGTTCTTTAATGTATTTCATCAAGGTATTTTTGATAGCACAGGACGTCTGATTGAAAGAAGTACTTTTAAACAACGTCTTGCTTTTCGACCAGATGGAACAATATACACATTGAACACAGTCAATATTCGTTGGACTCAACTTCCTTTATACCAATATTCCATCGATGTTGTGAAGAAAGATGGCTCCGCAATAGGTCCATGTATTAGTGTAGCTCGCATAGGAGCAACACTAAGAACAACATATGTTGGTATATGTCCGGATAGTGGTAACCAATTAGTAGATAAAGGTGATATTGCTGCGTTCAGATTATTTTATTCCAGGAACAATATATGGAAAGATTTCGTCGAAGTAAAATATGATGGCGTATCGGATCAATTAGCCTTTTACCTACCAGGTGGCATTACCAAACAAATAGCTCTACGTTGGAATGAACGTATAACAGGTACTAGATATTCTCTAGATGTTCGACGTCGAGATGGAACTTGGATTGCTCCTTGTGTTGGTGATGCAATTATCGGTAACAATGTTGAATATGTCTTCGATGGTAATTGCCAGACAGCCAAGATTTTTATTGAACCCACTGATATTTCGTACATTCGAATGTGTTCTGCTATTAACGATGATTGGGCGAGAGCAATCTGTGGTGGTGTAGCGTATGATGGCATGATGATCTATGTATTCGTTAACATTCCATGATCGAATAATACATACAGTTTCATGTCAATATCAGTGAAACTAATTACCCTAAATAATAAAAATCTTTATGTATTATCATGAGTTTCTTTCATTTATAGAAGAGACAAGTAATTATTTGACAGATATAGATTTTATTTTTTAAATGTATCTCATTTTTGAAAAGACAAAAGTTTCGGTTTTAGATAGAACAACTCACATCGGTTGAGAATAACTTTAACGAATATTTCCATTGCATTCAGTGTGTATTGCAACCATTTAATAGGTCTAAACTAAAAGCTTGTTCTCAAAAGATTTTTCAAATCTATAACAATGCGTAATATATAGACATGTCATCGTAACAATGACAACAATTATAATCAATCGATTTAGAATCATTATGAAAGCATTCAAGAAAGATTTATTGAAAAATTATATACGTAAGGTTTAATACATTCGATTCAAGTCTTTTCACAAAAAAAAAGAATGAATCAGTTAAGCTATTGTCATGTATTCGCTCTTGTGTCTCATCATTGGTGATAACACTATTCTTGTTCTTTTTCGTCGTACGAAACTATAAGTCAACACAGAAAGAACTACAATAGATAGACAAAAAAGAGCTAGAAAGAGCATCATTGTTGCAAAACACATCTTGTTCGATTTATTGTTATCATTGGTCGATTGGACGATTTTATTAATTACTGTTCCTAATCTTAAACCACCTTGAATAAGTCGTTGTTCAAGAATAACCATTCGTGTATTATAATATGTTTGACCAAGATTAAATTCTTTTGAAACACTCATTGGTTGATTATTTTCATCACGATAAACAAGTTCACAATTGAGTTTTGCATCTTCTATAAGCCATGATGTAGAACATGCCAGATAACGTGACTCATCCGATGATGGACAATGTGTCCAATCGGATATATTTTGTGCATAACGAGTTTTCATCTGATTAATCAAATAATCAAGATATAATAAAGGTTGAGAATGAAAATCTTGAGAAATACGACGCTCAATCATTACAGTATCCCAAAGTGAATGAAGATTTGTTTCTTTGTCAAAAAAATGACCTATTTCAAGTAACGTAAAACTAGATGTTTATTCCTTTTTTTTTGATATAATTAAAATTTTACCTCGAATACTATTACCACCACGATCACCTCGAAAACCAGCATGCAATGGTTGATGTGCATCACCAATAAAATGAATAAGAAATTTAAGTGCTTCATTTCGTTGTATTTCATCTTGTTGTGTATCAGCTAATCTTGCTGTGTAGTTTTGGATTGATCCATCAACACATTCTTGTCCACTACTCCAATTACAATCTTGTTCTCGATCATAAACACATGACCAATCTGTTGTATCAACATAATGTAATTCTTTTGACCATTGCCAATTAAGATAATCAACAGGATTCGTATCAGGATAAATAATATAATCAGGCCATGATGCTAACATACTAATATTTCCTGATGTATACCAAGGTAAATGATCACGAACAAAATTTAATGAGTCATTAGTCAATAAGGTTTGAGCGATAGCAGCTGTAAGAGAATGACCATCTCCACCCCATCCATACGCTGAGCCACAAGAAATTATTAAATATATTATAGAGAAAACCATCGTCGAAGACATGCTTAACAACATCGTATTCGAAGAATGATAATATTAAAAATGCAGCAACAAGCCAAATTCTCTATTATGTAGGTAGATAGCAGCTCATGATAAAAAAAAGAGCTGCAAAAATATAAAAAAGACGCATCTCATATCATATTTTCATTATCTTTTGGGTTTTATTATTAGTAAGGTGTCCGCAGCGCAAAATTCAAGTAAAATTGTTTTTTCGCCTTGTTTTCACATCATTTGATAGAGCTTGAGCTGTTGATCACGAATATATACTTTTTAGCCTCAACAAATAATTTTTCCTGAAAATT